AATATGACCATAGAAATTGTAATTCAATACTTTTAGAAAGCATCAAGTCACCCTTTGCTGAGAGGATGGGTGGGTGGGACTTCAAAATCTAGTCAGTGAGGCCACATAACTGCTAGACCTTCATACAAATTTCATTTTTGGTTATTTGATGGAGAGGCAATTGTTCTCTCCTTCAACACATCAGATTTTGAAATGTGTTCTTGACCTTTCACCTGTTGGGTGATTCATCTTTCTGTCAAGAGAAGAGTGTACTGTGTAAGTGAATGTCTGTTCCATACTGAAAACAGAACTTGCTTGTTCAAGTTGGTGAGGCATGTTTGTTCCATGAGTATAATACATTACTTCATAGGGCTGATCTTTTTCATCTGAATCTATAATTTGCTGTAGTTTAGCCTTCCCAACCCAGAGTCCTCCAGATGTGCTGGGACTAGAATTCTTAGAATTCGTAGGCTTCATGGCCAAGGGTCATGAGTGCTGGAAATATAAGGAATAGTATCTCCAATACATCTGGAGGATATCTAATAATCAAAGTCCATTGGATACAATAAACAAATAAATAATCTCTAAACCTTGTCCTGATCCACAGAATGTGCATTTTCCACAACACTGAACTTAGATCCAGATGTCTACACAGATATGCATTAATAGTGTTTTTCATACATTGCTAGAGTGAACTCAGTTTCCAATTAATTCCTGGCCTTAGCAAGTCTTCTGCTTAAACCCAGTTTAATTTTCTACATCCAAAGCACCCTACATTGAGTAATGCAGGAAAAATGAGAAAAATATTTTTCATTTCTAGCTTATCGGTTCAAATCCAGTTATGGGGATAAAACTGTTTGATCAATACATGTTTGCAAATTAAATGGCACAATCGGCACTGTAGCATTTTTGCAATTTGGGAAGTTTCTTTGTAAGTTGATCATCTGTACCCTTATTCAGAAGTGCATTCTGCCAAATTCAGGGCAGCTTTCACAAGGGCAGGAGATTGTAGCCTTAAAGTACAGGACAACCAGCTCTCTTTTGGGGGATCCTGAATCATTCTTGAATGTGGTGCTTGTGGCTTTTAATGCTGCCCACTCCTACATTAATGCAAGCCCTTGGCAAGGGCAATGCAAGCTACTTACATTGATCCAGTTCAGTGGGGCTAGGAAAGGAATAGATATCTTTATGGCTAGAACACCTGGCTCTGTTTAATTTCTTGCCATGCCAGGCCTTGCTTCAGAAAGCTCTCCACGATGGCACTTCGCCATCTGTAACCCAAAGATCTTTGGTATGCAGCTCTTGATTGATCCAGGAAATTTAGCAAGCCTTTAATACCCTCCTCCACAAAATGCTCAGAAATAACTCACTCCAGCGATGGTGACCTTGCAAATTCATTACCACGTCCCTCCAAAGGGCCGAGTCAAGATTATGAATGCATAAGATGGCATAGTACTACCGGTGGATTCCAGTTGCCCTTGTGGAAAAAGGATGCCGTAGCGTCCTCCCACTCTGGAGCCAGAAAGAGCTGCTCTCAGGAACTGGGATCTGCATTTCATCAGGATTCATTTAGAAAAATTAGGAATATCTGTATTTCAACTCCTCTGTTTGCAGACATATTGCTTGAGGACAAGAAAGGTCACATTGCCCTTGATAAGACTACATAGTCATTGGAGAAAGAGAGACTAGTTAATTCACAAACTGTTAACACTTTTTCAATGGGCCACATAGCAAACCCAACCTTATATCCTGTGCTTTTTTCTCTTTCTCTCTCAGGCACCCAAAAGCAAACAACATGGAAAGATCTGATCACTCTCTTATAAGCCTTTCTATATACACTATTTCCCTTTGAAGTATTTGGAGCTGGTCTCTTTTATAGAAGGGGCATGTGCAGACAGTAACAATATGTGTACATTGCATGTCCCCAAGATTACATTCCATACCAAGGTAATTCCATACACAGCTTGTTCTTTGAGTAAGTTATTTGATGTTAGCAAATCTGACCGATTAATTCTTTGGCACCGTCTAAACTCTTGAAGCTAGCCACAATGCTAGGGGAGAGCACTTTTATTCTGTGTCTCTGGCTTTCTCCGGGCTTGTGGAGTCTTCCAGTGTGGTTTTAAAGATTGCACTACCAAAGGCTTCCATTAAAAGAAATCTGAGCTTCTCAAGAAGCTGAAGTCCATATCCGATAAATTCTGCCTTTACGCATTAGAATTAAGGATGACCTGAATTCATGGATCGGAAGATTGGATCCGTTGGTCTTGGTGTGGTTCAGCTGGGAAGAAAGCATGTGCTATATGAATGGCTCTGATATTCATAAGTCTGTACAAACCCATGAATAGGTGGATCTACAAGATACGGGCTTAGCTCTCTATATAGAGGCCCCGGTTGGAAGGGAACATGGATTATTTCAGGAGCAGATGTAAGTTTATTGTGCAGGCACAGTACCAGGCAATCCCTTGGTTCATATCTCATCTGTCCGAGGCAGACATCATGCCTTCACCAGAAACTAAGGGTAATCCAGGTTTTGTTGCAAGGATTTTGTAAAGCTGATGTGAGACGATGCACATAAGGCACTTAGAAAAATGCTCCCTGTTGGGCACCAAAGACTCAACCTTTCCTGGCCCAAGCATGGGTATACAGAGGATATAAGCTATATTTTCCCATCTGTCTCACACATGCATATTAATGTGAAGTGGATGAGAAAACATGGCCTTCAAGGAATGTAGGAGTGGGGCAACTACCCAGGAAGAGAGATATCAGAACTTCACAGAGAGAGGAACCATTGGAAGTTTATCCATACCTCTCTCACCTCTACATCCCTGGAGCAAAGATAAGGGGACAAGATGCATAGGGAGATGGGAAGAAAGCCGACAGGGCCTGGAATGCAACTTGCAGAGACATGCCACATCCAGGATGGGGAAAGACTGGGACAGAGGAGAACGGAGTTCCCTCGTCCTGTATGGTGTTGGAAGGCTATTGGGGCCACAGTTCTAATCCATGTGTGATTTGCCTTACTACAGATTTGCTACTCAACGCTTAACTTGGGAGAGAATTAAAAAGCTTATGACCAAACCAAATGCATCCAAAAAAAAAAAAAAAAAGGGAAATTGATGGCTGCAGTTACCGGAGAGAGCAAATTCTCAATGTCTTTTGCACAAACAGACCACTGTGGACATAAATTGGTCTTGCACAAGCTAGCATTGCCCACCGTGTCAGGACTGCAACTCTCAGCTTTTCCAGCCAGTCCTGGCCTATCTGAATTGTGCCAGGCTGGGGAAAGTTGAGAGATTCCTAAGACGACACTTTTTTGTTGTTTTTCGTTTTGTTTTGGAAATGCTGAGCTTGACTATTCCAATTTATGTTAGCAGCTCATCACACAAGCAGATACTATTGGGGAGGGAGGGAGGGAGGGAGAGAGGGAGGATGAAGATTAACTAGGATACACTCGGGTTTCATATCCACAACATTAAATGTCTCTGGGAACATGAAATCATGTGTGCACAAGCTGTGGATGTTTGCATGCACTAAAAGGAAAGGCTGGGCTGGAGGCTCCGGGATGTGTGTGATTTGTAAAGATTCGTGCTGTGAGGTAGGTGTGTGTGTACATATCTTCTTGAGCTTTCATTCTCACATCCCAATCTCTCTCCCCCTGCTGCTCTGAAATAGCATCTGGGATAAGGGGTCATGAATATTTCACAAGGATAATTACCTGACCTGGAAAGACTCAGCCTGCTGGAGTCTTGCTGGCAGATTTAATGGCAGTTTCCTCCCGATTTACAGCTCAGCGTGGCCCTTACTGCAGCCTTGGCCTTCGTATGCAACCCCCTGCCAATTAACCCTAACTTCTGTTGACCCGCACACTCCCAGCAGAGCCCCTCAAAGTAACATCACAGAGGAGTTCTGCAGATCTTCCTGCTTGTGCCCGGCCTGACCCCCCCCCTTCTCCTCACTCTTCCATTCCTAAAATCCTGGTGATAATCTGCTCTCTGCTAAACTCTTGCCCCCCCCCACCAGGAAGCACACACATAGATATGTCTGTGCATGTGCACAGACACCCTGCACCTGTATGCTCACATTTAACTCTGGCTACTAGCAGACAAAGGCTAAAAATAGCTCTCTCTTCCAGCTCTCCTCTCTCTCCCTTATGTGAAGTTAAATTAAGACAGCCGCCCTTAGACTCGGAGGATACGTGCTCTTCCTGCCATTGCAGCCCAAGTGCCAACAACTCTGCCCCTCTTTCCACAGGCTAAGAGCAAGCTTCTCTGGCACTACCGCTCAGCCACAATTTCCAGTCCTTGGAAGATTATTAAGCACCAGAAACCGTGGTGCAAGCCACAAAACCCACAGAGCCCCCTGGACCCACAGGCCAGGGTTCTATCTCTTTTAGAAAGTGTTGGACCTCACATTGTTACTGCAAAACACACTATGCTACAGCACATTTTGAAAACACACAACAAATGCAATAGAGCAAATAAGAGCGTCAGATTTAGACAGTCTTCCTGCTGGCAAACATGGGGAAGGAAAGAAGTAAAGAAATGTAGTTTTTAGTATATTGTGTTGCCAAAAAGTAACAATGTTGGCAAATAAACAAAAGGAATCAAGCAGAACCAATCTCAGAACAAAACAAGACCAGACAAAAAAACCTGTATGGGAAATGCCAGCACAGTACATTTTCAAAGTAACAAGTCACTTTAAGGACAATTTCTGATTCATTTGGATTATTGGTGGCAGGCTTTCTTCTTTAGAATGAGAACAGTAAGCCTATGTATTTTTTAACAAGTGGGACCCAGACAGAATTCTGCATAATCAGAAAAAAAAGGGGTCAGGGAAAAACACTGTTATTCTGAACATAATTTTATGATTGTGAGATGGGCGGTGTCCAAATCTGAAATATAAATGAATAAATAGATAAATCAGTCCTGCCCTAGCAAGGCTCTGCATTGGTCCTGGAGAAAGTTCTCTTCTTTGCTAGAATAACTGAATTGACTTGAAAATGAACAGTGCCCCCACTTAAAGCTCTGACTTTTCTTAACACAGAAATCCTTGCAATGGCTTTCCATAGATGGAATGTTTCCACCTGACACCATAATAAATGGGCTGGTTTTGAAGGTGTTATTTTTGAGACCCTGAGTAGATGTCTTCGACACTGCTTCTTTCAGCTTGATCTTACTAGACTCTATCCTCCTCCTTTTCCAACTAGACCTCATATTTTGCAATACACTTCCAGGATAGTGCTATTTTCCCCATGGCTGCTGTGGGCCTGGCCAAGCAATGTCTGTGTGCCCAACACTTCCAACAACTTCCTCCCAAAAGGGCAGATTAAGGGTGACCAAAGCTTCAAAATTAAGGCATTTTAATAGTTGCATTTTGTACTGTGTAAACCACTGAAATATTAGTGTTTAAAGGCAGCATATAATTAGGGTACTAAGTCAGTAGTTTCATCTGATATGAGGGGGAAAAGACAATTTCAGTCTGAGTCTGCAACAATTATGCTAACCTGTTTGCTGACCAATTTCTAGTGTATTTGGAATTAGCCTGGTTAGGAATCTTCAGAACCTGTTCACTTGAGACTAGCTTCAGTGAGTACATTATTTTTAGGCATACCATTTTACAAAGTAAACATATAACTGCAGGAACCATTTGCATTATAGAAGTATACCTCAGAGTCCGGCTCATGTGGGTTCCTTCTAAAATGCATGTCCTTTGGCAAAGCCAGGTTACAGTCTTGATCCCAGGAAGAACAGCTGAAATAATGTGCATTTTGAATAAGTGAAAAGCCCAGAGAACTTCAGTGTGATCTTTTTCAGCAAACCAATGGTGTTGGACTGGGCGGAAAGGTATTTCAACTAGTACCAGTACAAGAATGTGTAGTGGGGAAAATGTGGATGGGAAAGAAGCTTTCCTTTCAACCTACCTTCTGGGTTATTAACCAAGATAGAATACTTAAGCAGTTTAGCTCACAAAACAGCGAATCGTAGTGTATTTCATTGTTCATTTGGTTGAGTGACTAAGTTGTTCAAGCCAAATCAAAATAGTTTAATAATCCTCTAACCAGCCATTGTGTTAAAAGGGGAGACATGGAGGCACCAGAGGAAAGTCACACCCATCAAAATTAAGACCAGTCTTTATGAATAAAGATCAGTTCACATGAGTTTATCATATGATTGCAACCTTTGTCTAAAGATTTAATTACAGAACTGAAGGGACTGCAAAAATCATTGAGTCCAGCCTTCCCCAGCCTGGTGCCCTCTTGTGTTAGATGACAATTCCTGTCAAACCAAGTAGACATAAGCAATGACCATGCTGGCTGAAGGTGTTGGGAGTTAGTTCAAGATGTCTGGATGTCACTGGATTGGGGAAGGCAGGTTTGCGCTAACATCTTGTCAATGCAGGAAACCCACTGTTGGAGTATTTGATATGGATTACGGAGAAGCTGGATGGTTGCCTATCTACTCAAGAGTCATCCACCAATTTCCGGTTTCAACAGCCAGTGAAGCAACCTTCCATTATCACACCCTTACCAATTAAGATGATCAGCATTACAATTAAGTGTGTGAATTGCTCCCCTGGGGTCCCTCAATTAAAAAACCACCAGATAATGAGAAGCCAAGAGTGATCATAGCCCCAAATTTTGATTGTTTTCTTTAGTTCTGGAAGAGACGCTGTATCCTTTAGTTGAGGGGTCCTATCCTATGAGACAGAGCAGGCACTTATATGCGTGAAAGGATATTGTTAAAAGAATTGAGGTTCTGAAAAAACAGGTCCTCATCCATTCCATAGTTCCTTCTCATGCACAGAAGAGACCCTGGCCCTGTAGAGGATATGGAGACTATAGAAGGTTCCTTACACACCCAAGAAGCAGTAGAATTTAACGAACATCTCTAGGAGGAGAGTTTTGCAACACTCTAGAAATAAAAAATGGGTTGCCCTTGCCTTATGTTCATGAAATATAACAGGTGCCACATAGAAAGTGGCTTCAAGTCTCACAATTGGCCAGGAAAGCAGCAGCAGTAACAGACCTAGTCAGTCTTCCTTTACCCCTGGGTTAGGGTGAAGGTGAATCACTTTGGCCTCAGCTAAGTGCTGGGTAGGGATCCAGCCTCCCACAGTCTCAAAGTTCCCAGACTCTACTAGCAATCAGTAGAGTAACCACCCTCCATTGTCAAAACTATGAAAGTTCCAACACAATTAATAGACAGGAAAGGAGAAATGACAGGAAGCCAATCCTGATTGCTCCAGAGTCCAGAGAAGAACAGGCAGTTCCTAGGCATCCCTTTTTCAGCTGACTTCCTTCTCCATTACCATAATTCCCCCAGTAGTCATCTTCTGTAGGGGGATCATACTTGGGGCTCTGGATGTCATTGGCTGGGACGTCCCTATAGAATGAGGAAGGATCAGCAGGAGGGGATCCTCCAAGGCCATAGAGATGATTAGATGAGCCATTGGGGTGCGGGTGAGGGCGAGGGTGTGGATGAGGGTGAGGGTGAGGGCGAGGATGTGGGTGAGCTGGTCCACTCTCCCATTCAGGCCTACAACTCCAGTCAAACTCAATAGGGTGATGATTAGTTGGAGGGCAGCCTTGAAAGACTGCTTCATTCAGATAGCGCATGTCACGTCCCTTGCGTTCTGCAGGAGAGGTACATATGACGTCTGAGATGGAGACATGTGTGCGCTGGAACCAGGACCAAAGGGAGTGGGCACGGCAGTCACAAGCCCAGGGATTGTTGTTGAGACGCAGAAACTCCAGGGAGGGCAAATCTGAGAGTGTTTCTCCAGACAGAGTTGTCAGGCTATTGTTGAACAAATATAGAATGGTAAGCTTGCCCAAATCACGAAAAGCCCAAGCAGGAATTGTGTGCAGGTGATTCCGGTGCAGCAACAGGCGGTCTAATCCAGACAGGCCACGGAAGACGTTCTCTGAGAGCTTCCAAATTTTGTTCCCATGCAGAAAAAGATGGCTCAGATTGGCCAAGTCCACAAAAAGGTCATCCTGGGAGGTGGAGGAAGAACGAAAGCTATGAAATCCTGCTTTTGTGAAATGGCTCACCCAAGTGGTCTCTTCTACTCCTAAACACTGCAGCCTAAATTCATTGCCCCACTTCCCCAGACTTTTCAGCTAACCTTCCCCCTCATGTTCCAAATACACTTTTCTCATGCAAGAGTCTGCTGTTGTGTGGGAGCCTAACATGTTTTTATTATATTGACCCCTGTTTTTGAATGTCTCACAGCACAAGAGAGAAACTTTCTCCCTCCACATGTAAACAACATTGTCTCGCCCAACTAAGGATATGGCTTGAGGCAGCGAGGCATAATCTGTAAATGCATTTTTACTGCTGCAGGGCCAGACTGCAGTTTCTCCACTCTTAAGCCACAGTGCCTGCGGCCGGATAGGTGTGTGGTTTTAGAGTGAGTTGCTGGCAGGGCATGTGCCTTTGGGGATGAACCAGCATGAAGATGAAAGTTGAGAGCCACCCAGTTTTTCACCAGTTTTCAGAAAAATTGGGAGGTGTGTGTGTCTCATATTATTCTCTTGGGAGATATTTCACATATTAAACCATCTATTTTCATATCATTCTCAAGAAACAAGTCCCTCATCCCATATCCCTGTTCTGCCAAATTAGCTATCTCCCACCTAATTTACTCAAAACCCAGAAGTCACATTTTCTTCCGGCTCCACTTTTTCATACTTCCCTAGCTGTCCTCCTCCATGTATAGTTTCAGAAACTTTTTGGGCAAAACCAAGCTCATGTTTTGCAAGAGCCCAACATCTTCCAGGTGGGAAAGACAACCATAAGGGATGGAGGATCACCTCCCTCTGCCCAACTACCTTCTAAAGAGGAGCAGGATAATTTGTGGCTCACAGGCTGTATATTGTTCCTTTCATCACGTTCACTTTACAACTTTTTGCCCTGATCCTGCCCATGTCTTTTAATCAATCATGCATATATTTGGAGTTTAGCCTTCTGTCTGAGAAAAGATTTCCCAGCCTTGCTCATACTAGGCCAGATTCAGCAATTTGCTCACCTGTAGGCAAAGTAGGTTGTTTTCCTGAAGATAGAGGTATTGGAGGCTGTAAAGATTGTGGAAGATGGTGTTTGGGAGGCTGCTAAGTTGACAGCGGTAAAGGTGCAAAGACTGCAGCCGTTCAAGTCCACGGAAAGTATCTGGTTCAAGAGTGCGCAAATTGTGGTTGTCCCCCAGATCCAGCTCCTCAAGAACCTGGAGATGGCGAAAAGTTCCAGGCTGGATGAGGGAAATATTGTTGGAGTAGAGCCAGAGGGTGATGAGGCTGGGCCCAAACATCCCAGGTCTTAGAGTCCCAATCAGGTTGTTTTGTAGAAAGAGGCGCTGTGCATTAGGTGGTAGTATCCGTGGCACAGAGGAGAAGTTATTGGCCTGGCAGCTAACGGTGGGTGGGGAAAAGTAGCAGGTGCAAAGCATAGGACACATTGAAGATCCAAAGGGTAAGGTCAACAGCAGGAGGAAGGTAGGAGCAAAGCCTGCAAGAGAAGGACATGTAGTAAGGCTCTTTGCTCTCCAAGAACCTGTGAAGGTGGAATACTTCGGTAGTGCTCACTCACCTTTGTCCATTGATATGTGAGCTGTTCTAGGAAAGCTAGATAGTACCTTACTCTAAACAGTACATTGTATTATCCCACTTATAGTAGCCTCACTAAGTACATACCAGTAGGCTCAACTGTTAGGTTTTCAATGACATTTTAAATGATCAGAACAGATTGGCAACATTATACTCTAGACAACTTCCTTTTTATAGATATTTTTTTAAAAAATTGCCAGTTACATATTCCAACTCTTACCTTTGGTCTCTGAGTACTGTCTATTATTTTAATTTAATTACAAGGGAGCCAAAAGCGCCCCCCCCTCACTTTCTAAGAGCTAAGATGCAGAGAGAAACATCCTCAGTCCTGAGATTCACAAAGGCACAAAGTTGGCAACCTTGCAAGGCATAATCCCACGTGAGAAAGCCCGCCTATGCGTGTGCACTTCACACACTTCAAGCCAAGCAAAGGTTTGGCTATGCATGTCTATTCACAGATGGTCTTACATGAGCACTCCCCATGCACGTGTGCATGGTTCCCTACCTCTGTATGCATGTGTGTGGGTGGTGTGACGTGATGAACGAGTAACACAAGCTGCCAATGCTGTTTCAGTAGTTCACACCACCTCCACTCAAGTCCTCTTCTCTTCCCACTCCCTCCAGCCTCCAATCTCTTTTTGACAAGCAACACACAAAAGCAGGAGTTTTTCAAGCTACCTCATCGATAACCAGAGATCTGAACTCATCCCTATTCTGATCAGCACCCTAGCCTTCCAACTACAAGAAAGTTCCTTCAGTAAGACACATATTACATTCCCTTTTATTTTTGTTTTAATACTTTTACACGAAGTACACTGGAAAAAAGCTCCCATTGATGGCGTGTGAGGTTCTCTCTACTTCATTTTAGGATCTTTCCCTTGAAATGGATATTGCGACTCCTCTTTCTGCTGACAATATTCAACTGAAATGGGGGGCCTGAAAAAGGGAATCATTAGTTGGTAAGTTATAAACTGGCAACCCCTATCTGAGGTCCTCAAAAGTGCTCCATCTGTTCTGTATCTATCCTTCTGCCTCTTGCTGGGCTGCAAGACTGTAAACTTAGGTCTTGTCCTGACCCAATTAGATGCAACATGCAAGAGGACAAGCCAGACCGCATGCACACTAGGCCAAAGGGGGCTCTCCTGCCAGCTGCCAGCAAGGTAAGAAGCCAGTGCCCCAACCCTGCAATAAGGGAAGGGAACCTGGTTCTCTGCCCCCCACTCACAAAACCACCTCCCTTCTCATACACTAACGGGGTGGAAGGAAACCTGTCTTCTTCACAGATATCACTTTGGTGATAGCCCTTTCCTTTAATAACGCAGGCCGATCTTCCCTCAAGGGAAAAGAGAGCCTGAGAGAAACAAAGCCTTTCTCTTGAGCAAGGGGAAGGGAGCTGCAGCTGCTAATGTTGACTGCCTCTGTCTCTGGACTCTTCTCTGGTGCGGTGGAACGGCTGTAACCCAAGGAGTCTCATCCATAATTCAGGCCTGTGGCTTTCGCTGGAGCTTGGGCAGAAAAAGAGGAGGGGAAGAAATTGGAAGCTTCTCCTCTCTCCCGATAAAAGCCCTCTGGCCTATCTTCATCATCTGGGAGAATGGAATTTATAGACATATCGGGACAGCTGCTGATGACCCCTCCGTCTTCCTTGTGACCCAAACAGGCCCACATTACTCTTTCATATGACATTCCTTTTCTAGCCTATCATCTCCCAGTCCATCTGAGATGACCCATCCACATTTATTTTTCAGCCTCCAGCCCGTTGCTGTTCTAACAGTCATCCAAAAATGTTTTCCTGGATTTTCTCAACACTGACAAAGGAAAACAAAAATCAAGATCATCCAACCAGTCCAAGCAGAGTGCACTGGATTGAAAAGTGATGTCATTAACCTATTCCTGACATACAGTGCAAGGGATGGCCCTGCTCCCAAGTGTAATTCTGATTATTTGTGTCCTGTAATCCTTATACAAGCCAAGATGGGCCTTAAAGTGTGCATTAGGCATTTGCCCAGGAACTGGTTCTATAGAGACTAAAATCCTTGATCCCCAGAAGAAAAACTTCACTGAACATTCATTAACCTTGTAAGATGATTTGAGTTTGCAAGTCGTGTTAAAACAAGCCCTTCAGCATCTTCCAGCTCTTAGCCACACTGCTATGATGAATTACCTCTCCATGGAAAAGGTGTAGGAACAAACTCACTCTATCGTGGAGAGCAGCAGCTTCTGACAGGGGAATCCTCCCCTCCCCCAGCTCCAGGTGTCCAGAATGCAGGGAATCCATGCATGATTGTCTGTCCTTCAGGAAGCCAGACCTTGGCATTACATCCTGCCAAGCAGACCAGACCCTTGGGGCAGTTGAATGGAAATGAGAAGACTCTGGAGCAAAAGTGCTTGAATTGCTAACTGGAGTCAGGTGTGTAATCCATATCTGAGGCACCTTAGAAACAACACAACGCTGTACTGAGGTGAATTGGGGCCACTGCTTGCCAAACTAGGAAGATTTAGTAAAATTAGTAAAACAGAGGTCCATCAACATGAGTGTGTGATTACACACTTAGACTGGCTCCATTTATATACTGAGATGTAGGACTAAAATAAACTCTAGCAGATGCGTTTACTAACCTAAGGAGGAAGGAGAAGATTGGCAAATGTTCAGTCTCTACAAAAGGACTCTCCAACTGCTTTAAAGTAATTATCATCTCCTGGCTGGACATACTTCTTGTAGGAAGTAGCACTGCTAGATGGAGAAGAGCAAAGGAATCAACATGTCTGTGTTGCCTTGCATTCTAATAGTGGTTTTTCCAAAGATCAGGTTAAAATATTGACTGGAATACTGGAAGAAAGAGGGTACTTGTGTCCTCCTTCACTTTTTCTCTCCCCTATTTAATAACCTGTGGTGAACAGAGACTGTCTAGTTCTCAGTCTTGCCAGTGTTGGTTTTGTCTTCATCTTCCTGAAGGAACTCTTTTTGATATCTGCCGCTTTCATTCTGAAAATCCTGACTATACTTAAAGGGTCTTTAAATATTTTTATTGCTTTCCTTGCAATAAACCTTAGCTTTGAACTCATCCCTGTCATTCTTCCCAGCAACATTTCCTTCATCCTGGAGTGTTTTAGTTGATGCCAGATCAGAATTCAGTATGTGCCAGTGGCTGCATGTGATAATGTGCCAGGGATGAGACTTTTTTCCATCTTCACTAGAACCTTCTTTAACAATGAAGAATTTGCATTCTCACCATCGCACTTCTATTCTTTGCCATATTTCATTGTTTACAACCTTTTTACAGTAACAAGATCAGCAACTGGAGGCTGTTAGGCCAGATCAAGTCTCTTCAGGAAGCACCATCTAATTCTCCAGTTGCTACTTTCTATAGAAAAGAGTGATGCACCAGGGTGGGCAATGGGCCGCTTGGGAAAGTGCAAAGAAGGGTTTTGGCTATCTATCACGATTCCATTTTCAGGGGAACTCTCATGTCCCTCAGGTCTCTGAAGAAAATGTACAGCTAGTCAAGACTTTACAAATCCATTTTCTGGAGTGCTGCTTTTAATGTTCCCTGAAGCTGTGAGGGATTTCTCAATATCCAAGTCATAGGTGGATCCTTGCATGGACAACCTAAACAGTTATGCTTAATGTTAGCAGAATCCCTCTAGGAAGCACACTAGGCCCATTACTAGAAGTAATCAGGTCCATCCTGAAAAGACCAGCGTAGATGGCTGAGGTGTCACCTGGTTTCAGTACAGCCTGTGGCAGAGGACTCTGGCACCAAATGGGTCAAGATAGGCAACAGCTGACCTCTGCTCTTAATCTGACTGGCGGGGAAGCAGAAACGACAACTCAGGGGTGGGGATAAACCTGGGGTTAAGATGGTGTTTTTGAGAGAGGCTGGCGGAAGCAGGAGTGACAGGTCTGACATGGCTGATGACGTGAATGAAGCCAAACTCTTTTTGCATCCATAATTTATCACCCCCCAAATAAGCAGCTGCCTGTTGTGTAACCCATTGAAGACCAGGCTATAAAAGGCAAGAAAGAGAGCTGAGCACAAAACCATTGGTGATATCCCTCTCCCCAGGAGGGCACTGCTGCCACCAGACACACTGTATCTAAACTCTGTTCTCCTTCTGGCACCGCACAGGCCACACGTTGTCCAGGCAGTGGCTGTCAATGCATTCGCAGCACCTACCATTCCTGGGCTCCTGCCTCACTCTACACTCTTCAGCTTTTTTTTTTTTTATGAATTCAGTGATGCAGAGCATCTTTCTGAACTAGGAAACCCACTTCGTGCACTGCGTCTTACATAAACACACCCTGTGACCCACACCGGCTCTCTCAGTGCTGCTAGGAAGTGACCCCCATCCTCCAACTTTACTTCAGGAATGCACACTTCACCTTCTCCGCGACAGAACCGACCGAGAGGAGAGCGGTCACGACCTCCACCGCTCCGGAGCCACCCTGCAAGTGGAGCCTCCTAGATGTCCCCTCGTTCTCTCTCGGGGGCTCGGGAAGGCTTTTGAGGCGATCCGAGGCGGCGGGCGAGTTCTCCCTCCGCCCCTGGGTCTACGCAGCCGAGGCGGAGAGAGGCGAACCCGCGGCCCCGCCCCCGCGCGTCGCTCCCGCTGCGGTGGAACGCCTGCCATAACGGCAGAGAGCGGATCCGGGCTCCGCCGTGGTTTCAGAACGGCCCTCCCGGCCGAGGCCCGCAGCTCTCGTCTGAAGACCGCGCCCGGAGGCTCCCAACTCAGCGCAACGGGGCGAGGAGGCTGGGCAGGCTCCGGCGGCGGGGCAGGGAGGATCTTCCCTCGAGAGCCTTTCCGCGCTCCTCCATGGGCGTCTGAAGGGAGCAGGAAAGGCTCCGCGTTCCTGCCCCAAGTCACTCCGTTCACCCGGCTCCCTGTCAGCTCTTCCGCAGCGCTAAACAGCCCTTTTCCACGCGACATCCCGCCGCTTTCCCGCTCCACGCTTTCTCCCCCTCTCCCGCAAATCGAGCCGATCCAACTCCTCGCCCTGAAGAAACCATCTGCCCCGGACGTTGTACCGGAACGGACCCGGTTCTCCCTTACCGTACAGAGTGGGTCCTAGACGGAGCAGCATGGTGCCAAGCAGATCCAGCGGACGGAGTGGCAGCAGAAGAGTCAAAAAGAGGGGCAGCAGAAGCTCCGGAGAAGAATGAAGAGGAAAGAGCAAGAGGAGGAGGAGGCGGAGGAGGCGGGGACAGGGAGGGGCGCGGCGGGAAAGCTCGTGGTCGGTCGAATCCCTTGCGGAACCGCTCCGAGTAGCGAGACTCCCTAGCGAGGCTCCTGCCGGACGGGGCGCAGAGCAACCACTCGACGTCGAACAAGCTCTTCA